TTTAAAGTCCTATCTAGCTGGTCCTTGTGCAAAGAAAACAGAGTGCAAACTGCAGTTGTTTTCTGATTTTAGCTTCTGTTTGGAACATTAAATAACCCAGTCATCATAAATCATTATAAATCCATTGTTCAGTGATTTTCATTTTTAAAACTCTAGGGTAACACCTAATTATAATATATAATGTGTGCATTTGAAGATTTTTGTTTTGAACTTCAAGAAAAACAGAAAATTTTCCTTATTTTTTCCTGAGGGGTATTTGTGTTTTGTGCATTAGAAGAGTGAAGAGCCACTTACTGTTGGTGGAACTTCTCTGCCAACGCATTGGATTTGCTTATTTTTCTGTTTTGATGATTATCCTCTGTTTTTCTTAGTTTTCCGTTACAGAATCATCCATCTTTGCCGAGAGATGCAATTGGAGTCTTTAAAAAGAAGATCCAGATCTGAGTTCAAGCCCCCTGCCCACAGGGAGCTTTAGATTTAATTCTGAGATGCACAGCACTGACGCCCTGCCGTGCGCTAGCAGGGGGTTAAAGACTTGCTGTGGTGTTACAGGTCCAGGTTGTGGGCGTGGAAGGCAGGAAAGGAAGGTTTGGGCGTGGTCACTCACCCTGAGTTTGCTTGCCCTGATACCTTTGTCTCCGCAGATTCTTGCTCGGTTCCTCACTAATTTGTCAGGTGGAGCAAAATAAGGTTGAATCTGCTGAAACATTTTTATCACAATATACTCTAAAAGGAACAGTGTTTTTTATGTTGAGCTTATATAATGCAAATGAGATAGACAGTGTTACTAACCACATCTTTAGTGGATTTACTTTAATACATAGAGGATGCTGATTTCTTTTTTCTTTCTTTTTTTTTGTAAGATTTATTTATTTTACTTGGAAGAGTTACACACAGAGAGAAGGAGAGGCAGAGAGAGAGAGAGAGAGAGAGAGAGAGAGAGAGAGGTCTTCCATCCACTGGTTCACTCCCCAGTTGGCTGAAACGGCCGGAGCTGGGCCAATCCAAAGCCAGGAGCTTCTTCTGGGTCTCCCACATGGGTGCAGGGGCCCAAGCACTTGGGCCATCTTCTGCTTTCCCAGGCCACAGCAGAGAGCTGGATTGGAAGTGAAGCAGCTGGGTCTCGAACCGGCGCCCATATGGGATGCTGACACTGTAGGCGGCGGCTTTACCCGCTATGCCACAGCGCCGGCCCCAAGGACACTGATTTCTAATTCCTGCAAAATTTCTACATAGAGGTTCTTTTAGAGCAGGGGATCTCCACATCTAACCTAGGGACTGCTGGGGAACTCCGAATCCATACAGTCAAGCCTGTTTTTATATTTCAATGCATCTATTTATCTGTATGCATATAACAGTCGTTAGAATACTGTTCCCCAGTCTGTGTGCGGTGGGGTTTTCCAGGAGCTCTGCAGTGTGTGTGACATCGCAACACACTGAATGCAGAAGAGAAATGAGAATACAGCTGTTTGTTATTAAGCAAAACTAAAGAGATTTGTGCAAATTCGTAACTGTGCCGCTCTGCTCCCCTTCTGTGACTTTGCAGCACTCTGCCAGCTGACAAATACACCAGCACCTGGCTAACTTCCTGAGCAAGCTGTTCTGGTTGCAAACATGGTGATGACCGCTCTTCTTCCTTGTGGTTAACACCGACGGGCAGTGGCAGGCTGAGCTGTGGGACCGCTGCAACTCACGCTTCGCTCAGCTTCCTGCCGACAGTTGCCAGCCTCCCTGGTTTGCTCCTCACTTTTGCTGGGTTTACTGAAGTGAGGATTGGAAAGATTTCTTATTACACATCAGAAAGACCTGATGAGAATTTACCTGACTTGGTCCTTCAGCTTAACCTACCATCCTAACAAATCTTACCTTCAGCACAACAGAAGTCCAAAGTCTATCTTGCCAAAAGGCTTGTGTCACTGCCATCCTGACTCTTAGAGGTCGTGGAGGCGTGTGTCTCAGTTTGCTTGCCCGAACCTCAGCTTCTGCCCTAGCAAAGTTGGTAGAATGGGATAAGCCCGCAATATTTGGATATGCTCCTTTGAACTCCTGATGGAAAGTCATTTTTATGAGGCAGTTGTTCTGTGTTAACACCACAGACAGCTCCTAGTAGATTTTCCCAAAACATACTTCAGACATCAATAATGGCGGCGGTGACCCAAGTATACCGTAAAATCCCAGGGGCCGCAGGAAACTTCAAAGGGGGTTGGAGCAAAACCTCACCTCTCATTTTCAGGGGCAGGGGTTACAGAAATCCTGGCTAGGGACCACTGTAACCAACCTCCATGAGGAATGCCACAGTGGACAGAGGGTTATGCTTACTGGTTCACTAGACTTTACCGGTTGAGCCCAGCAACACAAGCAGGGTGGTAATAGCTGCCACCTGCCACCTCCTGAGGCTTAGCAAGCCGAGCTCCCATAGATCCAGTGTTTGGTTTCCCTAAAGTTGCCAGTTTTAAACTTGAGCTATTCCAATCCACTTGCTTTAGGAAGTACAGATAAACATACAGTAGGAGTATATGTATGTATGTATTTTAGAGGTAGAAAGACAAGAGAGGGAGAGAGAGAGAGCGAGCGAGCGAGCTCCCATTCACTACTTCATTGCCCAAATGTGCACACAGTAGCTGGAGCTGAGCTAGACCAAAGCCAGGAGCCAGAACCTCGATCCGGGTTTCCTCTGTGGGGTAGGCAGGGACCCAACTGCTTGCCATTGCTGCTGCCTCCCAGGGTGCCCACTCTCAGGAATCTGAAATCAGGACAGGACCAGGGGCTCAAGCCGAGGCACTCTGATGTGAGACACGGACGTCTAAACCAGCATCCTGACCGCTAGGCCAGATGCCGTCCCCAAAATTTTATATTCCAGGCATACAATGGGCATTTGGACCTGACAATATTTTGGGGTTAGCATTGTGGTGCAACAGGTTAAGCCGCCATTTGCAACACTGGCATCCATATGAGCACCAGTTCAAGTCCTGGCTGCGCCGCTTCCAAGCCAGCTTCCTGCTAATGCTCCTAGGGAAGCAGCAGAGATGATCCGAGTGCTTGGGCCCCTGCCAGGCATGTGGGTGAGACCCGATAAAAGTCCTGGCTTGTGACTGTGGTGTGGCCCAGACCTGGCTTTTATGGTCATCTGGGGAGTGAACGGTGGATGAAAGAACGCTCTCTGGCTCGCTCTCTCTCACTCTGCATTTTTAATAAATAAAATAATCTTTTTTAAAAAAAACTGAGAATATTTCAATAATTGAGGATAAACTTTTTTTAAAAAGACTTATTTATTTTATTTGAAAGGCAGAATTACAGAGAGACAGAGGCAGAGAGAGAGAGGTCTTCATCTGCTGGTTCACTCCCCAGATGGCCGCAGTGGCCAGAACTGTGCCGATCCGGAGCCAGGAGTTTCTTCCGGGTCTCCCACGCGGGTGCAGGGGCCCAAGGACTTGGGCCATCTTCCACTGCTTTCCCAGGCCATAGCAGAGAGCTGGACTGGAAGTGGAGCAGCTGGGACTAGAACCGGTGCCCATATGGGATGTCAGCGCCACAGGCGGAGGATTAACCTACTGTGCCACGGCACCAGCCCTTGATGTACTTCTTTACTAATGATTTAACTTTCTGTTCTCAAAAACAACACAATTGCTTTTGTGTATGAAGGTGTATATTGGGGAGGTAAAGTTACAGGCATTTTTCCCCCACCTTGTTACCAACTCCACCACAGCTCTTTGAAAACAAATTATTATAGTTTTACTGTTTATAGAATTAGTTTATGATCATTTGACTTATCAATTATTCTTTTGCCTCGTACATATTTAATATTAGTAAGGATTTAGAAAACTATGGTTTTGACTTGAATTATTTTTGCTATAGCAGAATTTATCTTTTCAAATTAAATTTTATATGAGTAATTACATGTTCACATTCCAAAAGTAAATCATCTTCTCTAGTGTCTGGGGAAGCAGCCCTCTCCTGCCGCCCTTTCTGTCCCTGATGACTGCTCCCTGCACACCTATCGCAGCTTCTTCCCTGTGGAGGTACTTGCCTCTCTGTTTCTAAAATAAAGAATAAATGCATGAGTCTCCTACTATTTCTTGATATCATTTAGCTTCCCATTATTGTGCACACATGTTCCTTCTCCCTACTTTTCGATATAATGCATCCTGTTCTGATTAGTGCTGTGTTTTCTCCATTCTCCTGTTTAAATAGCATTCCCAGTGAATCCACATAGATTAATTTGAGTACATTTCCTTTTTAACTTTTTTGTTTGATTTTTCTCCCTAGAATGAGTTACTGCTTTGATTATTGTTTGCTTGGTTTCCTAAAGGTGTATTCCTAGTTTATCCTCAAATGGTTATTTACTTTCAACTTTCTTTATGCTAAGATTCTTAACCCACCCTCCCTTCCTCCCTCCCTCCCTCCCTTCCTTCCTTCCTTCCTTCCTCTTTCCTCCCTCCCTCCCTCCCCCCCCTTCTTTCTTTCTTTCTTGTTAAAAAATACATTGAGTAAGTTATTGGATTCCTTATTTTTCTTGGATATCCTCCCCCGGTCTCCCTGACTGGTTATTCTCTGCTTTCCTAGCACCGTGTATGATTTCTTTCTTCCACTTGTTTTGGTCCTTTTCTTTCTGAATAGACAGTGCTCAGATGTTTGGTGATTCCTGTCTCTCTGTTTTACTCCTATTTAAAGATGGGCATAGAAGTGCATTGGGAGTTGGGGGGGCGGGGGCGGGGGGGTGCAGGGCCCCACCATGGAGTGCTCAGGTGGGACCCGTGAGGCGGTCCTCTGTTGAGAAGCAGACTGGGTAGGGGGAGGGGCAGACCAACAGACCTAACTGCTTCTCCTTATGACCACTCTTCCTGCTTTGACCAGTTCTACCTGCCTCCCTGGTCTTCTGTAGCCCCCCAGGCCTTCAGGGCCCCACAGGGCCTCCGACTTAGCTCAGTGTCTGTGGTTTTTGCTCCTCCGGCTTGCATGTCAGCACGTAAGTCCATCTGCTTTTCAGCTTCTAAAGCATGGTTGACACCTCTCTTTATCCTTCTGGACTCACGCTGTTTGAGTCTGTTTGCTTATGATTTAAAGGGATCTCTGGATTCGATCTGTCATATTTAATCAGAAATCCTATAGTTTAGACTTTTCACTAATTCATTTGTTCTTTCTTGATGCCTTTTCCTCTCTACCTCCAAACAGTAGCTCTGAACTTGTATGGTTTTACTAAAATTCATATCTGTGGTTTCTGTTAAAACAGTCTTTATGGATTTGATGGTGTCAATAACTAATAATGGCATCATTACTCATGTTTGTGAGCTTCGTACTGTGGTCCAGGTATGGCTCTGTGCCTCACATGCATGATCTCATTTAATCTTTGCAACCACTTTTGGACAGCACCTGCCTAGGCAGTCTGTAGCCCCTGTTTCCCAGAAACATTTAGAATGCCTCTGGTGAGAAGCCGTTGCCAATCTCAACCCAGCTCTGAGTCTGGTGTTGGCCTTTAATCTCTCATTCTGTGTGTTGTAAAGAAACAGGTTGTGGAAGGCTCTTGTCAGATCCCAGGAACATGAAAGAAACGGCACACCCGAGGGTAGTGACATGGCCCTGTCACCACCCCTCATTGAACCATAAAAGCTCTTCAGAGGGTCTGGCAGCTGGTGAGCGACTGTACTTAGATCCTGGGTGCTGATGGGTGTTTTGTAGTTTCCAAGGGAAGTTGCTGAAAGTTTTCTTATCTTGACACTCCAAGGGCAAGAGGTCTTTCTTCAAAGGGAAGTGCTTGTTTCAGAAAGATATGTGGAAAGAACATAAAATCACCAGTTCATCCCCAGTTCTGGAGAAGAGATGGGAAGAAACAGTGTGGCAACCAGTGTAAACACAAGGCATTTGCAGGAATCTAGAAGGGGTTCCCTAAGGTTGTGATTGGTTCCCATATCTGTAATACAAAGATTGGGGTTGAGGGGTGAGGAGGTGGGAGGGTTTCCTTTGAGTCATTGTCCTGCAGTCTTTGAGCTGTGGCCTGGAGCAAGGGTTTTGATAGGCATGATAATGCCTACCTCAGTGGTTGGCTGTGTGCAGTAAATTATGTGATGTATATGAAGATACTTTCAAAAGTTCATGGAAAGTAGAATTAAAAGTAAGTCCTCTTTTTTCCTGGTCAAGATTTATTTATTTATTTGAAAAACAGGGTTACAGGGAGACAGGAGAGACAGAGATCTTCTGTCCGCTGGTTCACTCCCCAAATGGCTGTAACAGCCGGGGCTGGGCCAGGACAAAGCCAGGGGCCCAAGAACTTGGGCCATTTTCCACTGCTTTCCCAGAAGTATTAATAGGGAGCTGGATCAGAAATGGAGCAGCTGGGACACAAACTGGCACCTCTATGGGATGGTGGTGTCACAGAAGGCGGCTTAACCTGCTGTAGCACAACACCGGCCCTCAAGTAATTTTCTTTTGGTGCAAAAAATAATTAAATAAATTGAAATCCATGCATATGAAGGGTGTTCAGAAAGTTCACGGAAAATGTATACTACCAAAAAATATGCATAGATTTCAAAAATTTCTTGCCCTAAAATAAACATCTTTTAATTTCATTTTCCACAAACTTTTGAAAGTCCTCTCATGTCAGCCACTTGACCTGCTTGTAGCAGACGGTTAGGGCATAAGAAACGACACTGGTGTTGATATCGCCTCCTGAATATCGGATGGTGAGCAGTACTGCAGCAGCAATCCTGGTAGCTCTCACCTCCACCCTGCCCTGGCCGTGCACACTGCTTGCGTGGGGCCAAGACTTGGAGTTCATGCGTACGCTTTGCTGAGTGTCTGCCTTGCCTGTTCCCTTTCTCACACAAAGCAGACAGCTGAGTTCAAGCCTACAAACCGGGTCGGGATTGCTAGGTAGAGGAACTCACCTGGGCTCTCAGCCTCTGTACGTGTGCGAGAACCACACTGGAAGAGGTGTGCAGGGCTCCCGGCCTCTGTACGTGTGCGAGAACCACACTGGAAGAGGTGTGCAGGGCTCTCGGCCTCTGTACGTGTGCGAGAACCACACTGGAAGAGGTGTGCAGGGCTCCCGGCCTCTGTACGTGTGTGAGAACCACACTGGAAGAGGTGTGCAGGGCTCCCGGCCTCTGTACATGTGCGAGAACCACACTGGAAGAGGTGTGCAGGGCTCCCAGCCTCTGTACGTGTGTGAGAACCACACTGGAAGAGGTGTGCAGGGCTCCCGGCCTCTGTACATGTGCGAGAACCACACTGGAAGAGGTGTGCAGGGCTCTCAGCCTCTGTACGTGTGTGAGAACCACACTGGAAGAGGTGTGCAGGGCTCTCGGCCTCTGTACGTGTGTGAGAACCACACTGGAAGAGGTGTGCAGGGCTCCCGGCCTCTGTACGTGTGCGAGAACCACGCTGGAAGAGGTGTGCAGAGGCCACGAACTTGCTCTGAACCCACTTGTGAAGAGCAGGTGATCCCAAACTATTGTTAGTGTCTGCTGTAAATGATATGCCTCTGGGTTCGAGCAGAGTTCAGCCAAGAGTCCCACATGACATGGAAATCTGTCCTGGAGCCAGTTTTGTCGGCTAAAAGTTATGAAGCGAATGTCTCCAAACACTGGCATCTGTCGTCTGCCGAGGGGCAGCCGGCCGAGAACGATGGCCTGCGGAAATCGGGATGGGGCATGTGGCCCTGTGACAGCTGACAGGCCTTTTCAGCTACTGTTGCTCGTCCAGCTTTCTGATAAACAGCTCTGACAGCATTACGTGGTTTGGAAAGCGTTCTTCAAAGACGGGCGTGTTTTCCCGGCGCATGACAGTCGGCGCTAGTGTTGTTTGAGGGGTTTGAGTTGTAGAATCGAATTCCTCTTTCCTTTCCAGCGGGGCTGCTCTAAGTGCCGAGAGCTTACCTGTCCGACTCCTGCCAGGACGGTCCCACGATGTTATCACGATGGTCGGTCGGGGTCCCCTGTGTCTTCAAAAACAAAAACAAAACATAGAAAAAAAACCCTTGAATTAAAGGCCAAGAGTTCAAGAGGAAAAACCGTCTGTGATTTCTGGCTCAGTGTGGTGTGCGCGGGTGATGCTTTCCTCATGCACCCTCTGTCTCGTGACCTCTGCATAGTGCAAGTGGAGAGGAAAGTTTGGATTCTTGTAATGCTTTGAGCTTTGAAAGCGAACTTCCTCCAGATAAGAAGTGTTCATTTCCTAGTTCGTTGCAAGCCTCGTCGTCCCTCTTGTCCTGCTCCCAGAAATGTGACTTCTGGTGCCTTTTGACCTTCCTAGGAAATTCTCAGTGTCACTGGGGAAGGGAGGTTGCTCTCGGGGGAATAGCATTCAGACCACGAATTTCATTTAGGATTTAGACTAATCCAGACAATATCGTAAGTACAAAGTGTTTTAGTAATGGATTTTTTTTTTCTGCTTGAGAGGCAGAGAGATACAAATAGAGAAGGCTCCTATTTGCTGGCCTACTCCCCAAGTACCTGCAACAGCTAGAGCGAGGCGAGCTCAGAGCCCAGAGCCGGGAGCTCAACTTCTTGAATCATCACCACTGCATCCAAGGGTTTCCATTATTAAGAACCTGTAGTCAGGAACCCAAGGCCAATAGCAAACACAGGCACTCCCGTTTAACCAGCCTTGCAGTTGCTAGGCTAAATGACTGCTCTTAGTGACAGATTTTTTTAAAGCTGTTCTTAATTCTAATACACTATTTTTTTAAATTTCATGGTAGGAGTCATGAGATTTTAATCTTACTCCCAGAATGCAGTGGTGGAGCTAACAGTCGCGTGGAACATCATTCTGTTTTACTGTGGTGCAGTGACAGCAGTTCACATTCTTTTACTTTGTCAGTGTAGGATCAGTCCCTCCTTGCCTCAAATCTCTGTAATCAAAATAACCTGTCTGGGTGTTCCCTTTGGGTCCGGGAGGCGGCCTGACCTCCTGACAAGAGACTGAGAGTGCGTGCAAACCATGAGCGCAGAACTCCAGTTCCAACACCAACAGTGCTCTGCTCTGTGGTCTTCTGCAGATAGCTTTTAGCCTCTCCTCTCTAGCTAAGGGGAGAGGGTCGTCCTTGCCTGGTAATCTGCGTGTGGCTGAGATGAACAGATGAACTGTTTGTGTGACTCCCTGGAAGAGTGACACGGAGGGGCCTCCCCGCCTAGGAGGGAGCAAACTGGACATTGGCATGAGAAAGCCCGGACAGGGCAAATGGAACTTAGAATATTTACTAAGAATAGGAAGGCACTGGTGTAGTGTGTTCCTTCGCAGCCTGTGGGTCTAGGCCTGTCCCCAGCTGGGCAATTGCTTACCTGAGTGCTCCCCATGGGTTGAGTCTGTGGCCAAGTCTGCCTTGTCAGCCTTCAGCCCTCCCTGTGACTTCACCTCCGAGGAGACTGCAGAGCAGCCCCCGACGTAGCAGGCTGGGTCACGTGGCTGGAGAATATCAGGCCCTCCTACATACAGATTTAAGCCCAGGGAACCTGTTGGGAGAGGGCCACTTCCCCTATACTCAGTCCTTGTGGGACTACTTGAAGTGTTGACAGTGTCCTTTAGCTCATAGTCAAGAAATCAATGTTTAAACAAACAAAAACCACCTTTGATAACAGAGGTATTTTGTGTAAGAAGGGATGTGTATGTTGTGAGAAAGCAAATTCTAAACCATATTTCCCTTTCATCCCCAAACCTATCAGATTAGTACTTCCTACCCTGCCCACAGTGCTGGAGTGACGTTGGGTAGATCCCGGAAAAGCAGTCCGCAAAGCACGCGGGAGAGCAGCGCGCACGGTGGTGAGTGTGCTGACGGCAGCCGCTCTCAGTGTGTGTGTGGCTTGCTGCATCCTGTTTTTAAGTAACTCATGCTCCTGCATTTTCAGTTTGGCCTCCTTGTTTTACTTATGATTATATGTTCCTAGAATATTGTCATAAAAGCGATCCTAAGATAGAAAAGTCCAACAGGAAGTGGGGGCATTGAGGTCACTGTTTCTAAATTCTCAAACTCTGTTTTGGCCCACGACAGAATCTCATTCCCAGGGGTAGGTCCAAATATATCAAAGACTCTCGCTGCATCTGGGCTCATGGTGGGCCAAACTGGGCCTCTAGGAGTGCTTGTGTTACACAACGAAGCCTGATGGGACTGGATTCACTTGTTTGTGTTAATATAACCTGTGTGATAATGTGAGTGCAAGTGCTTTGTAGATTGTCCTGGGAGATGGGAGGTGTTATTATGACTAAAGGCTTAATTGAACTCTGGACATGTATGTGAATAACTGGAGACAGCTTGAATGGATTACAGTCTCTGCTGGAGGATTTGCTCAGTGAGCCTACCTGCCTTTTCTGTGTCCCTTGTTTCCTGGCTCAAGTGGTTTCCTGTAGCACCGTATGTTCAGCAAAGCAGACCACATACATGCAGACAGATTGCCGTAGTCTGAACAGCGGGAGAGTCTGCCGTGACCCATTCTTCCACGGCACCTCCCATCTCCCCCCGCCCCCAGAAGGCACTTTAGGCTTTGGAATGACAAATCCATTAACTCATCTGTAGAAACATCAGTGGACAAGGAAGCTTTGGGAGCAACGTGCGTGAGTGTATTTACGGTTTCCGTTGAGAAGTATGTGGGTTGCGTCCATGGAGGAAGCTCGACTTTTCACCCGATGGAGCAGGGCTTCTCCAGAGCCTGCCTAAGAGGGCTGCCTCTGCGGAGAACTGAGAAGTGCCCGCGGGCAGTGAGTGGATGCTGTGGGACTTCTGTGTCATTTTTAACCCATTTAACCCATCGTGGGCCCTCCTCTAGTACTGTGTCAAGATGGCTGCAGGAAGACACTCCCCTCGGGGGCTTTCCTACCGGATCCTTTGATCCTGTCTCTGGTTTGCTTTTTGGTTTGATTTTCTGTCTCTCTGTCTCTCCTTGGGCCTTGTTTAGAAGAGTTCCAGTTAGCCATTCCAGACCCGCAGTTCAACACCGTAACCTCATTGTATAGGCAGTCCCACTGGGATGCGACACACAGATGTGAGGGTGGGGCGGAGACTTGCCCCATCTACCCACTTAGAACCCGAAGTCACTCAGGGGTCACTTGTCAGAGGACATCCCTCTGTGGGAGCTCTGAACGTACCACTCCAGAGCCGCCCAGGGGTGCTGTGCTCCTAGGGTGCTCTCTAAGGCTGCAGTGGAGACCTGCCCACACGTGAGAGCAAGTGGGAGACCCAGCAGGTCTCGTGCTCAGGACCTTCTCCTGTTCAGTCCCATAAAACCAAATCCCCTATAAACACCTCCCTTCCAGGCGCACATGCAAACACGTGCGCATTCTCATACAAGTACTCACGTGTCCCACTTTGGTAGCCAAGGGCTGAAAATTATTTACTTTTTTCTGTATTAAGAATAAGAACAGCTCGTAGCCAGTGTGTGCATTCTTATCTTCTGTGGAACCTGGGAAGACGAGAAGAAGGCTGTGTCTTAGCTGTACTGAGGCCCCCCCGGAAAACCCCTGAGTTCAAGTTGGAGGTGCGTGGGGATGTGGTGGCTGCGTGGCAGGAAGTTTGTCAGGGATCAGCCTGAAGATTTTGCTGTGGTGAGAACAAAGTGAAGTCTTACATTCAGGAGCAGCCCGGGGACTATATAGGGGCCCAGGGCCTGCTGGGATGGGGTTTTACACTTGGGCTGTCCTTTTGCCCTCCCACTGAACTCTTTTCATTTCAGTCATGAGCAAACAGTCAGTGCCTGAACTAACAACCCTGCAGTCGGCGGAGCAGGGCTCGCTTACAGTACCCAACAAAGGGAGGGAGGGCCGCGTGGGCCGGCCCGGGCCGAGGAATGCGGCTTCAGGGTTCTGCTCCATAAATTTAACCAGCACGACGAAAAGGAGATAATATGAGCCTTCGTGATGATCTGAAAGGGGGAGGTTCTGTGTCCCATTGATTGCGGTCTGGCCCAGTGCCAGGCCCAAGCCTGACCGACAGTTGAACCATATCGTTAAGGCGTGTAATACAGCTCGAGTCTTGTACTGCCGCCAATGAGTACATATCCACAGGGCAAAAGTTTATAAAGAGTTGAGGCCGTCCTGCTTAACCCTCTCACGCTGCATGTAATGGAGCCAGCTGCCATTCAGGACGTGCCCGTCTGAGGTCATCCAGGGAAGCCTGCGAGCTGCCTTGCTCCCAGCAGAGCTTGTGGGGCGGGGAGAGGGAGAAGCGCCGTCCTGAGAGGGTCGGCCAGGGAGGGTTCTCTCTGGAGCAGCCAAGCAGCCTGCCTCCCTCCCCCGGCCAGAAACGGGACACCCGCGTGCTTTATTGAGGGGAGCTCGCTGTTTGCAGTATAATGTTGCAGAAGGAAGCAGGGCTGACACAACAGGAAACCTACCCGTCTCCGAGGAGGCCGTGCCGGTGGCAGAGGTGGTGGGGTGCCGACAGTGGGGCCTGTGGAGCCGCCCGGGCTCAGGGTGCTGCTTCTCCATTCCCCGATGCCCAGTCCCCTCCGAGGCTGTGAATAGCCCCACTTTCTGGCCTCCACGGCCCAGCCTGGGTACTGGAGAGCTGGCGCAGGCTATCCCATGCAATGGCGGGGTAGCCTGGGCGTCTTCTGTCAGAGGCAGGTGGAACCATGAGAACTCTGTCCCTTTACCAGGGAGGACGTGTGGCAGTAGCCACCTTGTGCCTCCAGGGCCTGGAGCAGCCCAGGTTCTCACACTGCGTAAGTGGGCGGAGCAACAAGGACTGGGCATAAGTAGTCTGAGGGAAGGGCTGTCCACGCCGGAGGCGTCTAGGGCAAGAGTGCACACCACTCAGGGTTTGTTTCTTCTTGTCTGTCGGCCCATCACAGGCTTTGGCCAAACTGGGAACCTGCCTGTGCCCTGTCCGTGCCATCCGTGTGTTCTGTCACTGCCCGACTACAACGAATGAGGCATCGTGGGGAGGCCCATGTTTTGGACAGCGAAGTGGTGGAAGTTGCATTTACAGACACTACTCTGACCACTTTGTATGCATTACTCTCGTTAATATTTAGTCTTCACAACAACCCAGGGAGGCGGGAACGTCGAGGCCTGGAGCAGTTGCACGCTGTGTGTAAGACCTCGGAGGTGCTAATAAGAGAGGGAACCAAGATTCGGACCTGGCACAGACTCCTCCTCCTCCTGGCAGTCTGAGTGCGGAGCACAGACTCCTCCTCCTCCCGTGCTGCTTCCAGGTCACCTCTAGGCCTCTTCCCCCGTAAGACCCCGGAATTCAAGTCAGAGACGTCTTCTCAGCCGTACATTTCCTTCCTTTTGATTCTTGGGTGTGGAAGGTGCATATGACCGAGAAGATTTGGGAAAAGCTGCACACACAGCTGGGGACAACAGTACTACACGGTCTGGCAGCATTGCTCACTGAGTTCTACTCACCGCCGGCCCAAACCAGAGGTGGTGTAGGGGACTCCCTGTTGCTGGAAAGCTGGGGAGGGCTGACAGTCTAGGGCTTCCTGGGCCAGACAACAGAGGGCCTGAGCACAGGGAGTCCCTGGCTGCTTGTTGCCGGTGGGGAAAGCTAGGCCACTGAGCTGTGCTGCCCTGGCATTTCCCAGTGATGAGCCGCAGCAACCATTCTCATTCAGAATTTGCCGGTTCCACAAAATAGCAGTGACACTTCCTGGCTCCAGCTTTGACTTTGCTCCGCCATCCAGCCAGCTAAGCACCTGAGAGCTCCCTGTGATGCACAACACAGGAAGCTTTGGCAGTAGTTTATGTGTTCGCATATTATAACATCATTTCGGTGGTCAAGGAGAACTTGTATTTATTTTGGTACTGTGGAGCCTGGAAAAAAAAAAAAAGGCTTCTCAAGGGAAGAGAGGAGACTGAATGGCTGGCCAGCCCTGAGGTTGTCAGATTCAAACTAGTTGTGCTTCCATGGTCAGGTGCTTTTCTAAAGCCTAGAAATAGGCTCTGGTGGCGAGTCATGGGGAGGAGCCAAGTTATGATCTGGACTCTTCCATTAAATGATTGCTAAACCCAAGGTGTAGGACACCTTGGTGCCAGGTGACTTTTAAGGGTTCCTGTTTGGGGGTTCTGTCTTCAAGCAGTTCAGGTTAAATTGTATGAAGACATTCTGTTCCTCATTTGAATGTGTTTGGTCCCATTTAACAGTGACTAACGATGTTGTGAGTTGGGGCCTGTGTTATGGCATAGTAGGTCAAGCCTCCACCTGTGATGCTAGCAACCCACATGGGCACTGATTCGAGATCCAGCTGTTCCACTTCCGATTCAGCTCCCTGATAATGCGCCTGGAAACATGGTGCAAGTCCTTCAACTCCTGCGCCCACATGGGAGACCTGGAAGAGGCTCCTGGCTTCTGGCTTCGGCCAGACCCAGCCGCGGCTATTGTGGCAATTTGGGGAGTGAACCAGTGGATAGAGGATTGATCTCTCATCTCTCTCTCTCTCTCTCTCTCTTTCTCTGTCTCTCCTCCTTTCTCTGTAATTCTGTCTTTCAAATAAATAAAATAATTAAGTCAAAAAATAAAGAAAAGCAGTGATTTATCTCTTTTTCAAAAATGCTTTGAGTTAGCCAGATGACTCACTAAATGGGATTCATAGAAATTCTTATCTGCAAAAATGTTAAGATGGAGATAGCACCGGAAAGTTCTGCTGCTGCTTGTGGCATGCAGGACGTCTGATCCCAGCGTCTGGGTCTGAGTGGTCCTCCAGGGAGGGAACGGTGGAGAGCAGCAGCCAGGGAGTCACTTCTTGCCTCTGTGTGACTCACTCTCCTTTGTCAACATCAGGGCTGTTTCAGGCTTGTCTGCCTCTCTCGACCCGAAGGAACCTGGTCTTGGGACGACCATGTGCTGGCCCTCCCGTCTGCCCCTGGTCCAGAAGGAGACACAGATCCTCAGCGGGAAGAGAGGCTGGAGCAGAGCCTGATGAGAAGGGTGTTGGTGCCTTGCACTGAACAGACTCTGCACTGGTGACACCAAAGGCAGGAGAGCGGGAACCCCGTTCACTGGTCTTTGTTCGAAAGCCTGTGTCTCAGTGCCCAGAGAGGCAGGTGGGAAAAGCAGTGGCTGGCACCAAAGCCAAGAAGACTTTATATTGCTGCTGCCTCTGTCTGAGAGGGCCCAGCATCTTTCTCCACTACCTCCTGGCTCCCAACAAGTTCTGACACATTAAAAAAAAAAATTATTTGTTTATTTGAGAGGCAGAATTACAGAGAGAGGGCGAGGCAGGGAGAGTGAGGTCTTCCATCCAGTGGTTCACTCCGCAATGGCTGGAGCTGGACCAATACAAAGCCAGGAGCCAGGAACTTCTTCCAGGTCTCCCGTGTGGGTGCAGGGGCCCAAGGACTTGGGCCATTTTCTACTGCTTTCCCAGGCCATAGCAGAGAGCTGGATCGGAAGTAGAGCAGCTGGGACTCGAACTGGCGCCCCTATAGGATGTCGGCACTGCAGGCGACGACTTTACCTGCTATGCCTCAGCAGCAGCCCCTCTAACACATTTTGAATACACAAATTTTTCCAGTCCTATAGAGGTAGCCCCCTAGTCTACCAGTTAAGATTTAGCCTTGTTGGTTCTTGTTTCCCAGAGAAACAAGTGCCCTGGAGGTTGGGTGTCAACCCGAGGGGTACCCCTGAGTGTTATGAAGGCATAGAAACACAGTTGAGATGACCCCAAGTCCTTCTGTTTCACTTTTTTATTTCCCATCACCTGGACCATTCTGCTTTCCAAGGGGGCTGGGGAGAGGAGAACATTTCAAAGCTAAGTTGACTGGGTCTCCGAACCCAGCTTGTCTTCTGGGCTGTACTTCACCCTGCTGGGAATCAGAGAGGACAGTGTGTAAGCTCGTTTGCTCTAGTGGCTCTGCAGCTGGAGAGCCTCAAAACCAGTTCCAGATGTTGCCTCCCTGCGTTAGCTGGGAGGGAATTAGGGTGCCTGGGCGGCGGCACTCTGCTTTGGCCCACTCCTCGAGTCCTCCGTTTGCAGTAGCCATCTCGCCTCCAGGGCTCTTTGGGTAGGGTGCTGTGAGTGCCTTGTTCATGGTGGTTTTGCCTGCACCTCCCACTCAGTTAGAAGCGTACAGCTCTGAGCCACTGGCTGCTGCGAGCAAGAGAAGCCCCCCCACCTTGAAAAAAGCAAGACAATGCCAGGAGAGTCCTGCAGATGACCCTCAGAGGGTCCCTGGCCCTCTTTCCCCACTATCCACGATGGGGCAAGGCAGGGAAAGGCCAGCCCTCCCAGTCTTGAGAGAAGATGCATAGAAAGTAATGGTCACTGCCTGGCCTTTTCCTCTTGAGACCTCCCCTTGTTCAAAAGACAGCTAAGGCTGGCCAGTCTCGTTTCCTTCCTGGTCTGCACACAGTCCCTGCTATACACAGAGAATAATGATAGATCCATACTTTTGATTTTAAATTTACTTTAAACATTTTGGTGTTTGTGTCAGGCTGCTTCCTGAATCTTTTTCTAAAATTTGTTTTAAATTTTTATTTACTTATTTTCATTTTTATTTGATAAAGTAGAGAGGCAGAGAGAAAGATGGAGAGAGATTTTCCATCCACTGGTTCACTCTTCAGATGCCCACAACAGCCAGGCCCAGGCCAGTTCAAAGCCAGGAACCCAGAACTCAGTCTGGGTTTCCCAAGTGAGTGGCAAGGACATAAGTACTTGAGCCGTCAGCTGTGACTTCCAGGGTGCACATTAGCAGGAAGCTGGATCAGAGGTGGAGTAGCCAGGGCACTGTTGTGGAACAGTGAGTTAAGTCACTGCCCGTGACACCGCATCCCATCAGTGCCCGTTCCAATCCTGCCCGCTCTGTTTCTGATGCAGCTCCTTGCTAGCATGCCTGGGGCAGCAGTGGAAGATGGCCCCTGCACCCTCGTGGAAGGTCCAGATGAAGTTCTAGGCTCCGGCTCCAGCCTGGCCCAGCCCCAGTGGTTGCCACCATTTGGGGAATGAACCAGCAAGCAGATGGAAGATCTGTCTCTCCCTCTCTCTCTGTAACTCTGACTTTCAAAATAAAGAAATCTTTTTTGTTTTTAAGATTTATTTATTTGAAAGAGTTACAGAGAAAGGTGGAGACAGAGAGAGAGGTCTTCCATCCACTGGTTCATACCCCGAATGGCTGCAATGGTTGGAGTTGAGCCAATCCAAAGCCTGGAGCCAAGAGCTTCTTCTAGGTCTCCCATGTGGGTTGCAGGGGCCCAAGCACTTGGGCCATCCTCCACTGCTTTCCCAGGTGCATTAACAGGGAGCTGGATCGGAAGTGGAACAGCAGGGACTCAAACTGGTGCCCTTATGGGTTGCCGGGGCTCTAACCCACTGTGCCATAGCACCAGTCCCATAAAGAAGTAAATCTTTTTTTTTTTTTTTTAATTGCTGCCTTATACGTTGAGGCTCCACCCGCTGTGCTTTGGAAGATCCACTGTCCAGCCCCCTCCCAGTGCTCGTGATCCCTTTCCTGAGAATTCAGTCAGGAACTGCATGCAGTGGCTGCGGGGTGCCAGGTCTGTACTGGGAGCCCAGCGTCGTCCTCCTCATGTTGCCAGTCTGAGTCCGCAGTGTCTCAGTGTCACCATTCGCCTTTCTCAGCAACTGGGAAAGCTGAGTCTTCCGTTCACATTTCAGTTGATTGGATTTCTGTTGTGAATCACTGTGCATATCCTTCATCCCAATCCTTTTTAAACCCCACGAGCTCAGAGTTTA